TGGTATTATAATAATGGATATATCTTTTAGGAATGAGGGGATTTGATCATTGCCCACGCACTAATGAGAGATGATAACTAAAGTACTAAGTATCTGAGACTTGTCTCAGTTACAAAATCCATTTTCTCTGTGATCAGGGTTAGTTCAAATGATAGGTAATAAAATTGTTATACTAAATTCATTCAAAATGATTCCTCAGCTTCTGAAGAATGCAGTTCAATTATCGGATAAGCTGTTTGATACATAGTCAAATTCATCTAAGAAGTTCGTTTTTCTGATAAAGATAGATATTGATATAAAACATACCTAAAGATGCAATTTCAAGAACAAAAAGAAGTAATCCACATAAGATAATCAAGGAACCAATTATAGTAGAAGCAACATATGGCCAAAGTACTTTCCATTTATATTCAATTGGTGAACCTCCTCCTCCATAACCAATTGGATAACGACCACGATGTTGTGCAGGATGTGCAAGCATTTCAGTTTTTTTTTTCTTTCAAATGCTTTGTAAGAAGGAAAATTACCAATATATATATATATTACATAGATAAATCATGTTATGATGTTAAACTTGATCATGGTTTTTTTTTAATTTTCGTTTATCAGACAACGCGTCAAGGTTTTTATCAAAAAAACAACAACCAATATTTCAAATAATCGTCTTCAATATCAATAGTCTGATATACAAACATATAGTATATATTTCTAATTACTCTTAATATCACGAACGTCCTTGAATCAGTCACACTTTCGTCAAAATATCACTTCCTTTTTATCTATTTATTACTTTTTCAGGTGAATTAATCTAGACATACACCTATGGTGGAAAAAAAATTTTGTGCGAAATTAGTAACATCCTATCAGTGACGCGTCAGCAGCGTAAACATAGGTATGACAATTAGCTCTAATGTCTTACTACGATAAAAAAAAGGAAGTGTTTTAAACATTATGAAAATACTACGTACACTCATACTACAAACGAAGCCGTTTTTTTCTAATACAATCTATTTGTTTGATTTTTTCTTTTGGAATAAAGTAAATAAAAAACATGTATCAGTTAAAAAAAAATTATTTGAAAGAATCGGTTTTCTTTCTGTCATTGTTTGGTCTAAATTAATTTCAAAATCTTTGTCAATATTCAAATTACCAAATACCAACAATCTTCTTGTTTCATACTATTTCTTAAATAAGTTTCCAATCTTTTTAATCACATGAAACTTTGCTTACATTCATTGGAATTTACTCATATAGAATAAACCTTAAGAAAATCTTTAATATTTCCTTTCTAGATCCTTCACATATTGGCGAAGAATCCTGCAGAAAATTACTATTTTCTCCGAAAAAAATGATGTAAAACTAATGTAATTAATTTCATTTTTCTAAAATAATCGATGCCATGGAATGAGAATGACGTGCGAATAACGAAAACAATGTGATAGTTTTAACTTTTTTGAAATACCTAAAAACATGCAATTTTTTGATGAAAATTTTTAAAATAACCATTTAAATGAATTTGTTTTTTTGATTTTTAAGTTCCTTGAGTCTTATCCAGAACAAGATATAAAAATATTAAATATGACATCAACATTTACAGAAACCTTTTTATTTACTTGATATTTATCAAACTGATAAAAAAAAATTAGTCGATCACAAAAGAAAACTCCATTTGGTTAAACAATTTATTTCTATGACATTATTTTTTTTTAAATATTAAACATTTTTTTTAACAGAAATTTCTTTTTGAATATACTTTCTTTAAATATAATATTATTAATTAGAATATACACAGTAATTAATTCTTTAACTTTAATTCATAATAGATTATCTTGTTTTTTTACTTTAATTTGTTCAAAACAAAAACAATTATAAAATTTTTCATAGATAATATATTTCAAATTTTGAAAACTTGAAGCATGTGAAGAATGTATTTTCATCTGAGGATTTGATAATATCTAGAATATATCACAGATACCCAGAAGACGAACTTTTTCGAAATTGAATTGTTATTTTTCAATCCGTTTGCAGTAATATAAGAAATTTCTATGAATAAGTTCTTTCAATTTTATTTTCATTATGATATAATAACGAAAATAAATACCAAAACAATTGATGAATATATATTTTCTCAAGATTGTATCTAGTTGAAACCAAACACATAATCACAATAATCTTTGTCGACATAGTTTTCATTCAATCTAATAGTTGATCATTTTAAATAGTTTTAATATTTAAATTATTAAAGAAGAATTTATTTTATTTTATCATATCTCAATGATATATCATCGTATTTTTTATTTGTATTTCATGATTAACATCTGACTTGAGTTTTCCATTTCTTTTCTTTTAATAAAATTGAAATAAAAGGACTAATTACTTCAACACCATAACCTTAGTAAATAAAAGTACTTTATTTTTCTTTATGTATATACTTGGCCAGAAGCTGTGAATAATAAATTTTTCTTCAGTAAAATCTATATTTGATAATTTATCTCGAGAATAAGAAGATGAAACAAAACATACTCTATAAAATAGCTTTTGTTTGATTCTGTTATTTGTTTTATTAAGAAGATTGTAGAAGCTAAGAAATATGTCTGAGAGAAAAATAATTAAAATTAACTATGAAATATATACAAATGAAAAAAGAAAATAATTAACTGAGAATGACGTCAACAGTTAGTTCATTTATAAAAATGAAATATGTTTGACGTCTATAAGTAATATTATAATGACTTTAAAATCATTTTAAAAATTAACCAAGTGCTGAAGTCGTTCTCAATTTATCAATTTCTTTTTGTACAATTCCGAAAATTTTATAATTAATTTTGTTTGTTCTTGAACTATATTAATGAAAGAGATAATCGAGTCAAATAAAGCCTATTTTTCAGAGTATGTTTTAATCAATCATCTTATTCTGGAAACAAATTATGAAATTTGATTTTTACTGAAAAAAAAATTTTGTTATTAGAAACGAGTGAGAACTGCTACCTCGTTTTGCATATAATAAATGATTACTAATCTTTTTTGTTTTTACTTTAAAAATTAAAAAAGAAAAGACTTTTTAGGTGAAAATTTTTTTTTTATTTTAGTTGAAGTCTTTGTTGATAATGAATAAGGCAATATTATTATTCTTATTATTTCTATTGATAATCAAATGTCAATGTGAAAATAGTCGATCACTATTCTTAAGAAAATTTCTTGGTGTAAAATATATATGTAATAAAACAGGTTGTTCTCCTTCTACTATTATATTTGGAAAAAATCAAGTACAATGTGAAATATCTTGTTTGAATAATTTGCAATGTTATCTTTTAACTTTTGATTTATCTAATAATCAATGTGAAATATTTTCAAGTATTTCAATAGACTACGGAAATTTAATTCAACAACAAAATGTTATAACAATGATTACTCTTGATAATGAACAATTATTCAACTGTAAGTTATCAATTTTAGTTTTTTTATATTAGAAATATTACAATATAATAAACACATAGATTCGAGAAATAATCGATGAAAAATCTTTTCCTAGGTTATGTAATATTCTGTATTCAAAAAAAATTAACTATTAAATGAATAAATTTGAGAAGAAAATTGAAATTTATTTATTATTTATTTTAACTTATATTTATTGTTTTATGAATTTATTTCAATAATTATAGATTAGAAAATCTAATGAAATATTATATGATTATTTTTGATTGTAAAGCAATACAAATAGATCATAATCAATATTTTACTAGGTTGACCAAAAATTTCTGCAACACTTTCGGAAAGGTTGAAGGTCAAAAGTGTTGCCGAACGTTTTGGTCAGCCTACTATTAATTACATATTTTATTCTTATAGATTTATTTATGCATTAAAATTTTCATTTTCCAATAATTTATAACTCTAGAAAAGAGTGAATTCTAATAAAATTTATGTAAACTTATTTTATCACTTAATATTAAATTTGATTTTTATTATTTTCTTTATCATATGTTTTTTTATATTTTTATATTTTTTTTAGCTATGTTGAACAACATAACAGAAGCATCAACGTAAGTTACAAATTATTTTATTAAAAAATTTTCGAATTAATACTGTTTTTATTTCGTATAAGAATCTAAGTTTAGTTTTATATTTACATTCATTTTAAGTATTTATTTGATGATAACTAAAATATTATTTCGAACATACTAAAACATAGTATATCATCAACTAAATATTTATAACATATTTATGTATAAATTTATGTAATCGACTGTTGTTAAACTCTAATTTAAAAGTATTATCTTTGTTGATAAGTTTCTTCGATAATTCTGTTATGGTTAAGAAAATCTTCTTTAAATAAATTAATCTAATTAGTTCTGTCCATTTTCAATTCATACACCATTTCTAGCACATAATATAACTTTAGTTTAAATGTTTCCAAGTAAAATTACAATTAGAGAATATAAAAGTTATAATAAATAGTCAGTAAATAAGTTATGAACAGTGTTATTTCTTGTTTAATCTCATATACCTTCATTAGAAAATTATAGAAGTTTATCGAAGTAAACATAGAGATTGTGTTAGACATGTGATAGAATAATCTCTCTTTTCCTGCGATTATCAGTTCACTATTTATATATAATAAATATAGCAAAATTAGATTTTATTATTCAATTCCATATAATTTATTTTATAATAATATTTATTGCTGATCGCTAAGATTTTTCTTATTATCAGGAATATAATATGATTATATGAATACATAGAATTGATTATAGAAGTACAAAAACTATAAATATTAAAAAAGAATTACTTTATTTAATTACTATAGTATCAAATCTTTAGTTTTCAGAAAAATTCAATTATATCTGATCTATATTTTTCATTGTTAACAAAATCTACTAAGAATATTTCATTATATTTCTTTATCAATGTTTGATGTTCATCATCACTAATCTTTACATAAATAAATTCTTTTCTTCTCATATTAATAGTTGTTACTTATTAGTTGTTAGATAAATAAATTATTAGCATAGTATAATATAAACAAGTTTATATAACAATAATCTAAATTATTTCGTTGTTCTCTGTTTTTTCTGATATTATCATTTACTTATATAGCATAGAATCCACAATGACAAGCAGAAGTACCACAACTACTACAACAATTAAAACTACTTCGAGTACCACAAGTGCTACTACTACAACTAGTGAAACCACTACCTCAACTAGTACTACCTCGAGTACTACAATTACCACAAGTACTACTACCTCGACTAGCACTACCTCGAGTACTACTAGTACTACTACCTCAACAAGTACTACTTCGACTACTACGAGCACTACTACCTCGACTACTACCTCATCTAGCA